ATTCTTATATCATGGCTTATAACCATTCTGAATTCCCTTTATCGATTGACAAAACTTGGAATCTCTCTTCCGTATTTGGAGGGGCTGCAGACTCATTGTAATGTGTTTTGCTGTTCAATGCCCAATACTCCTGTCTTTGTCTGATCCTGCTTACCTTACTCCTTACTTTGTTACCTCTCCTCACGACATCTAATATCCAAGGCATTCCATTGTGCTCCAGATGATTTTGAGGGGGAATCTTGTTCTCTTCTATGACCTGTTTATCTTCTTCTGCCCTTTTTGTGCTCACCTGGATTCTCTGTTTTGGGACTTGTTGGGTAGGGATACTCTCCTCTCTCAGGTTCAGCTACCTTTTTCCTTTGTATGAGAGCTTTACATAGCCCCTTCCTTTGCCCTGACGTTTTCAGGGGTATTTCTAATTCCATGAAATCATGGGTGGAGGCTGGTTGTCATTAAACCTTTATGTTGTCTCTAGTTTCCCAATTGACTCTACCTCCCTCCACCTATGTTCTCATCCAAGCCCTCTCTGCTTCCTCACTTTTAATTCCCACTTCCTGACCTTCCTCTTTTAACTGTCCTACCTCTAGCTGATGTCAGACTTCCTGAGCTCATTTGTGACTAGCCAGTAGGTTTGGGACTTAAGGGGGCCCCTCTGACACAGTATGCACACCTATGATTTCACTTTTCTGCCAACAGGTGGGTTTCGCAAGCTCTTATCCATGGACTTTCTCTCCATTTCTCATGTCATTCCCCTGTGAGTCCTTATCCTGTTTTCTTTCTATCTCCATCTGTTCCTGTCTATCTTCAATGCCTCAAGGAGGTGGTGTCTGATTTGTTGGACAAACAAACCATAGAGACCATGTATGATTCTCTTAAGGGGTTTTACTCTTGTCTTTTTGTGGTCTGCCAAAAGACTAGTGTCCAATTATTGACTTTTCTTCCTTCAGTCACTTCCTGATCGACCCACACTTTTGAATCCCAATTTTCTTTTCTGTCATTCATTTTCACCCATTCATGGTTTTGGCACCCCACTCGTCAGTGCCATTGCCACCCCTATTAAGCTCAAGCTTCTTCTCTTCTGCTCTCCTGGTCACTCAGCCAGGATTGGTCTTATCTTTTCCTTTATGCCTATCCACCTCTTTGACTTTTACCTTAGATCCTTGCCTTGGTTCATGGCACTACTTGTCGGGTCCACTTGGTGGCACTTCATTGTCCAGCACAATATATTTCTCTTGCTTCAACCTCACACATCACCATTCCATCAAGGGATCTTATCCCTCCACCTTCATGTTTGGGATTTGTCTTTCATTGTTGGTCCATCTTTTCTTCCTGACTGTCCTATTATTGACCATCCCTCTACTTTCTTTACTTGACTGGTTGACTGTGGATTGTCTATACAATTGCCAGTCAGACGGGGGCTTTGTCCACAAAGTTTTGCCTTTCTCAATACTGCAGGGTGTTTTCTTTCCATTTCCTCCACCTTGTTCCATTCCTTCCTTCCTCCATAGATCTTCTCGCTCTGTTCCCATGCTTGACTGGGACCTCAGTGTGTTTCTGTTTGCTCTCACCTGTGAACCTTTTGAGCAATTTGCATTTTGCTCATTATACCACCTTTCTGTTCAGAACTATATTCTCTTTTTCTTTCCTGTGATTGCTGTCATTCAGATGTATATGCTATCAATTCTTCTTGTATTCTTTTTCCATCGGGCTTGGCATGGCCAGGTGGTTAGGGTGCTTGACTCGCAATCTGCGGATTACGGGTTTGAATCCCCATCCCACCAAACATGCTCACCCTTTCAGCTATGGGGGATTATAATGTGATAGTCAATCCCACTATTTGTTGGTAAAAGAGTAGCCCAAGGGTTAGTGGTGGGTAGTGATGACTAGCTGCCTTCTCTCTAGTCTTCCCACTGCTAAGTTAGGGATGGCTAGCACAGATAACTCTCATGTGGCTTTGCATGGAATTCATAACAAACAAACAAAAACTTTTCCATTGTTCTTATATTCTTCTCTATTAAGAAGTTTACCACTCTTTCTTACCTACTTCCCTTCCTTCCATTTCTCACCTCTATTAATGATTGGACTTGGTCAGACTTTTGTGTCCTGCTTGTGCAGTTCATTCCTACTTATTTCGTACTTCACCCTTTTAAGACTCCCATCAATGACTCTTCGTTCCCTGGGATTCATCTTTCTCCAGGGACATCTCTTCTAATCTTACAGATTGGATTCATAATGTTTTACATTTGTTCTACTCCTCATTAGAGGTTAATGCTTGCAGAATCATCCACATTTCATTCCCTCATCTCTCATTTCTGATGACCTCTAGATGAGATCCTTCAGGTAGGCATGTGAAATAACCCACACAACTCTTTTGCCCATTATTTTCATCATCTAGCTGTCTTGTCTACAGAAGGTTCTTTAGAAAGGTGAGTACATTTCCTTTTTACTTTACAGCCTTCCTTCATTCATAGAATCCCACTAAGTGGCTGGTGGTGCCTCCCAGGGTATACTTGTTTCCTAAAATCTGCATCAAGCCAGGATAACAGAAAGCTCTCATACCATCTGCCCTACTTACACATATGCCCACTGTGACATGGGGTCCTCCACAAGACAACATTAAATATCCTAATGGTATATTTATAGATATTTACTTCTTTGTCCAATCCAGACTGTACCTATTCCATGGATTTTTCATAGAAAGGTCCAGCACCAGTAGAATGTTCTGCCCACTTCTCTGCCTCACACTTGCTGGCTTTTCTAAACAGGGTTTCACAGTGGTGGGTGGTGATGACTAGCTGCCTTTCCTCTAGCCTTACACTTCAAAATTAGGGATGGCTAGTGCAGATAGCCGTCATGTAGCTTTGTGCGAAATTCAAATCGAACAAACGAACAAAAGGTAATTGTTGCACATGGAGGTATGTCAGCTTCCTGTTGGTGGAGAGCTTTTGCTGCATAATGACAGGCTTATGTAGTAGCACAATTCATGAAAAATCTCATAAGATTAGGTGAGAGCTGCCTAAAGGCTACTGGCATCCAAATGTTTAGGACAGATTTGTGGAGAATATACCTAAACTGTGTAAAGAGGTGAGTGTCTATCAAAAAATACATATTCAAGGAAGGAAAATGTTAACTTTAGAAGTTTCTGAAATTAAATTATTTTTTGCTACAGATTCTGATCAGTTTTATTATGGAATGTACACTCTTGAAAATATACGTATAGGTGTATTCAGTTTGTTTTTGTTGGTAAACTGTGTAAATTTTAGGAGCAAACACTTGGTTTTTGTAACTTTTGTAAGTAATGACACATTCTAATTTTCTTAATTAAAAGTTTCATCAATATTATTGATTATGATGCTTAGAATAATTGTTAATGTTATTTTATTATCATTGATTTTTACAGCTATGAAGATTATTTTTTATTTTTAGCTAATTATATAAAATTATGACAAATATATATCTAAGCTTGTCAAATGTCACAAACAAACATGGCTAAATAGGAAGGGTGCCAAAATGATAGTTCATTGTATTTCAGTTACTATATATTAGCTTTCCTGGATATTGATTTATGATGTATTTATTTCTTGACAGTTCATTTTATAAATTGGCTTCATTAATTCATAGGTTACGTTTTAGTTCTGACCTATGTTCAGCTTATTTTAAACATAAGTTATTAAAGTCAGAAAATATTTCCTTGAAACTATTACCCCTTAGATTTTACAGTTTACTGTGCAGGAAAACAAAACAATAGTTGTAATTTTCACAAGATAACATTTTATTATTATTAAGAAAAAGTTAACTGTGGTTTCTCAAGGATTTCCAGCAAAACAGAGTCTAGGCCCACAAGAGGTTCATGGGTATTACATGTGGGTGGGTGTTTACCATTGAGTGTGATGATTGGGTTACAAAGAATGAGACTGACACAGATTTCACACAGAATGTAAGGTATTACCGTGCAATACACTACCAGAGAACAGACAAGTGATGGTGTGTGGATGTACTTTAAATAGAAGTGTGGGACCAACAAGAGCAAATGAAGACTATTAGAACAAAAAGGCTACTGGTGGCCTGTTTGATCCCCCCCCCTCCCATAAACTAAACCATGAAATAGAATTACCAAACAAAAGGCAAAAAAAAAACTGAAGCTATGTTAAGTCATGTTTTCTCACTTCAATATACCTAAATAAAGTGATGACACATTCACATGGTGAAATCCAAACCCCTAACTTGGGTTTCACTGACAGTTAAAATAGCTTTATTATATAATAAAAGAAATACAATTCCAAGTCTCAGAGCCAATGCTGTGCTAAGAATACTGTGCATATAAGTTTGTTAGCTCTACTACTACATAAAATAACACATGTCAACAAGACTGGAAACACATCTAGAGTAGCTGTACCATGAGAGCTGTGAGTAAAGTGTATTGAGAATTTTGTGATTGCTATCCTGAAGCTGGACTAAACCATTGCCAATTTGTTTTTTGTTTTTCGTATTTTAAGTTACTACAACCTTGTTAAAATGATTGATCACTCAGTGAGGTTGTTATATGATTGATAAGATGTAACCCCTCTACTGAAGAAAGTGAAAAGCCAAAATGTTGGTGATAAATTTTACTTTTTATTATGGAGAAAGTAGTAATTTTTAGAAATTATTTAAGTTCCCCATTTAATTTTATTTTTTGGTACTGGCATGGCCTTGTGGTTAGGGCACTTGACTCTCAATCTTTGGTTCACGTGTCCTGTTATTGAACATGCTCGTCTTTTCAGTCATGGGGTGTTGTAATATGATGATCAATCCCACTTTCCTTTGGTAAAAGAGTAGCCTAAAACTTAGTGGTGGGTAGTATTGACTAGCTGCCTTCCCTCTAATCTACTGCCTTTAACTTAGAAATGGCAAGTACAGATAGTCCTCAAGTAGTTTTGTGTGAAATTCAACAAACAAACAAATATTTGGTACTTAAAAGGAAAACATTTATTGAATTACATCTCTTTGCTATTTTACAGCTTGGTGAAAATAATGAAATATACTTAGGTGTGTTACTGAGTTATGACGAACTCAGTGATTGGATGACAAATCGTTGCATTCCTCTAATCAGGGAAATCAACTTTGAAAATGCTGAGGTATGTAAAAACTAAGCTATGTGTGATGCAGAATAAAATGACGATATAACCTTTTAAATCACACTAATGAGAGGTACCTTTCCTATAGTATTTTTAAATTTTAACATTAAATATGAGAATTAATCAAAATTATTTTTTTAAGTAGAACACTGAGTTCATTGGATCAGGTCTAAATTATTTATAAAGTGATCTTTTTTTCTTTAGTTTAAGTTTATATTATCAATTGGAATCTTCCAAATTCTTTCTCAAATAATTGAACTGAAAATGTTAAGTATTTAACAAAAAGCAATTTTTTCATTCTAATGTTGATGATGATGATGTTTTGTTTTGATTCTTGTGAAAACATTTTAGCAACAAAATGAAGGTATTAAAGAGATGAGGATCTCGTTGGATGTTGAATATTATAATCAGCTTTACATACACAAAACATACATACCTTCGCTGATACTTATAGCTTTTTCTCGATCTTCATCTTTGCCATCTAAACATTGTGTTCACTTGCTCCAGTCTCTCTACCCCACTTGACTGCCCTTGGCAATATCTAATTTTCAAAATTTTACACTGGCCCTCACACGCCCTCTATGAAGGTGTTGTACATAAGCAATGTATGTCGACAGTGTAATAACTTTTTTTTTGACAAAGCCCTAGGAGTTATGTTTTGTGGTTCACATTTTCTTTTAAAGCATTTTGACAGTAGTTTGGTGTTTTTTTCCCATTGCTGATATTTCAATAGTTTTCTTTTGTGGTTCAAAAAAAAAATGTGGGGATGAATTCCTGTGTAATGGTTTCTGGCATATGTTAACCAGATCTCGTCCATTCCTCCTTTGTTGTTGTGGGGGTCACTCTCAGTACAGGCTGTCTGTGACCTGATTTGGGATAAGTTGGAGTCCTTCATGCAGCCTGGAGGTTCAGAGTTAGCTTTTCATTATGAACTTCAAAATATTTAGGAGAATTTAGACACTGTTTTCTGCTCCTCCTTTCACTAGAGTTGCCTCTACTGAGGGCTCATCTGAGGGACCACCTTCTGCCTCTTTTCTGCAGTTACTTACGAGAATTTGTGAATTCACCCCCTTGCTTTTGGGTCTACCCTGCCTTGTTGTCAGATAGATCTTGGGGGGGGGGGGGATTAGTTAGTCCTTCTTTCCCTGATATTGCCATGTATGCTGAGATGTTTGCAATGCAATTAAGAGAGAGTATTGCTGTGCCTTGCTCCCTGCATTTATCAGAACAACATGACCTGGCTTATCATCATCTGGCTTTAGTGTATTTAGACACTCAACAGTTGGATCTATGGAGTTCCAGGTTAGAACCTGTTATCCTTCTTACCAGATCTCCATTTTCACGGATTTATTTAACTCTTACTACTGTATTGTGATACTCCTCTTCGTTATTTCCGGGAGGCGCCCCTTTTTTTGGCCTTACTAGTTTGCTGGAGTCCCTGAAACTTTCGAAGCCTGATTTAATATGGCACATTTGTAGTTTTCCTTATTGTCATTGGGTGGTCGCCTCTCTTCTACTCCAATGGGTAATTCTGGAGGATCGATCATTCACATCTCATGGCCCCCACCTTTGACACCTTTTTCCCATTCTTTTCCCAGCCATTTCTCATCTTTACAATCTATCATACCCAGATCATTTGTGTCCAATCAAAACACTTAGATGTGCTGTGGCTTGTAAGGAACCGTTCAGGGGCCCTATGCACCGGCTTTTTATTTAGTGTGATCCTGCAGTGTCCTTGGATTTATCACCCATTACATTAACTAGAGGGCTTTGGGAGTTGATTCCTACAGCCTATTCGGGGTTATCTGTTGTAGATTGAAATATACTCCACATCATTTCTCACCAGATTCAGCATCTATCAATGTCATTGTCTGCTTGTTTGAACTGTTCTCTGGGGATGTTTTGTGGGCTGGTATGTGGACTTTCCTATCTCATTACCTTCATGATCTAGCTGTTTCCTCTTCTGGGTTCCTGAACGTTTTTCCAGATGTTGGTAGGAGCAGGACCGATCCTTGCAGAAGCCTACTTGTAAAACCGTCCAGATTTGACACTTAGCTATCCGACGAGGGTGTGCTTGGACCCTCTTATGGACACTGTCAGGTCTTACATTGTTCATGCAGAGGTCCAGTATTTCCTCGTAAATCTGAACGCAACGTGATCCCATCTTAGGCCCTTGGCAGAACAGTGTTCCATGTCCTCTCCATAATTCCATGGGTAAGTGAAATTCTCCTTCCCCACTTAATTGGGGAGTGAAAATGACTGTTCGTTAATCCAGATTTATGAGTTCTGGACCTTGGCTGAAGTATGGCATATATGATCCCATCAATCCAAGCCTGAGATGTTGCCTTTTGGACTTCTTCAGGTTGATCAGAAGGATTATCCACTTTGGTGCTGCTTTCTTTCTTTTGTAAATCTGGTTGTTCGAAACACATCATTCTGTGACTGCTGGCGGGGATCCTATCATAAAGATATGTATATATTTGTGATCCATCTGCCCTTGCCAACAATGGGGGATGTGGGTACCACGACCCCTTAAATCCAGCCCTGAGTTGTGGAACCTTGGCTGCGTGGTTGGGGCTGGCCCATCATACTTACTTGTGTAATATACCACCCTTTTCTGTAGTTCTGGGTGTAGAGCATACTTGTTCTGGATGTAGTGTGCTTTTCCCTGCTTCGGTACCACTTGGTACACCTTTCTTCTGTGCAGATGCTTTTTGTATGAACTATGCTCTCATCGACCCCTTCGCCTTCTCAGTGTGGGATTTTAACTATAAGTATCAGCAGAGGTACTTTTGTTACTCTCCCTCCCTTCTTCTCCACTAATAGCTGTTGTTAGTGTCCAGGATAGGGTAGGTCTCAAAAAAGTGATTATATTGTCAACATACAATGCTTATATGCAGTACCTGCATAGAGAGCGTGTGATGGCCAGTGTAAAGTTTTGCAAATTAGATATTGCCGAGGACAGTCAAGTTGGGTATAAAGACTGGAGCAAGCAAACACGATGTTTAGATGGCAAAGATAAAGAGCGAGAAATAGCTATAAGTGTCAGCAGAGGTAAGTATGTTTGGAAATACATTTTAAGATTAGGAAAATGATAACTTTTAAAAAATTAATGATGTATTATTTCTAAATAATAAAATACACCTTATTTTCTACCCAGATATGCTGAGCATTGTTTCAAAGCTCAATTTCATATTGTTTTCATTTATCTTTTAATTTTGATTGCTATTATTCTATAAAATTATTTTTTGTAGGAATTTGTGGAAAAACTATAATATGGCGATAACTGATATAGATACCAAGTTGTGAAAGTGTGCAACAATATGAGAGTGGTCTCGGTAACAATACATACATGAATCTTTGCTTTGTTTAATTGGTGATATGTCATGTTGAGCAACAAACCAGGTACAGGTTAACTTGTTGTTCTGTTTTTAAATTGAAATGATATGTTAAATAAATATTATTTGTTTATGGTTACTTGCTGGAGATTTTTTTTAGCTTCTAGCAAAACCCACGATATCTGGGAGAAAAATACAAGGCTTTATTACTTGTTATTAAACTTCTCTTGGAAAAAGTTGAAGTACTTTGTTCAGAGACTTTGCACTCATTTAGAATTTTTTTCCCAACCAGGTTTCAGAATTTGTGGTGGGCACAACACAGATAACTTATAGGGTAGCTTTGTGCTTAATTACAAACAAACACAAATATTTTTCCATTAGCATGTGCAAACATTGTCACAGTTTATCTGCCAGACAAGTGTTTTTGGGTGACATTATACTATGTCATAGGGCAAAAGCAAATGAGAAGGAAATAATCCTTATTTAACACGAAGGAATCAACAAGTATGTTGGGGGGGGGGGGTACTACCCAGTATATAACAGTAATGAAGTTCTTTTAAAGCTTTGTTCTCAAGAAGAAACATTAAATAGGAAGTGAGACTTTTACTGGTATAGTTTTGTGAAGAGGACTTCAAAAACTGATCTTGCATCTCTCTCTCTGAGCTGTAAAGTCCTGTTTAACAAAGAAGGTCTGTCTCTTCATGCTAATGAAAAACCGTTTCAAAATGGATTATGCAAAAAAAAAAAAATTTTTTTTCCCACAATTTGAATTCATAATTAGTATAATTCACAAATGGTAAAAGTTGAAACATTTAACCCTACCTTAGTCTCCCGGGGTCTTCACAGACCCCATATATTTAACATTTAAAATCATACATGTTTCAAACAGCCCAGATTTTTAACCTTGAAGAAATTCACCAGTGATAAGTTTACAGACTTACAATGATAAAAATTCTGTGGTTCAATTCCCTGTGGTTGACAGAGTGCAGATAGTCCATTGTATAGCTTTGTGCAAAAACACAACAAAAACTAAAAAAGAATGACTATGCTATTCAAAACATAATAGGATTTTAATTCTTAAGTTTTTTTAACAATTATTCATATTTTCTTATTTTTTGTGAATTATATTCATCATGAATTCAAAGTGTGTGAAATAGAAAATGTACATTGTTTATAATCTATTCACAAAGTAATTCTACAATAATATGGTAACTTAAAACTAGAAGTAAATGACCTTAAAACATCAATTTTTTTATTTTTATTAATTGGATACTTAAAGTTTTGCTTTACAGCCTTTTCAGGAACAATCCACTAAAACACAAACCATAACTGACAGTACAAAGTTTCTAATTGAATCTGTAGATTGTGTTTGACATGTTAAGAATTGTATTGTTGAAATAATTAAATGCTACCTATAGTAAACAAAAGTTCTATCCAAGTTATAGATTGAAATAACAAAAGATAAGATGAAAATATAAAAAAATTATAATTGTAGACACCATCCTTTGTCCCTATTCATCTATGGTCACAGTTGTTTAGTGAGAAGATCTTCTTTAAGTTTTCTGTCAGTGTACTTCCATAAATAAGGATTTGAGTTGTCAGATTATTTTGCACAGATTTTTATGTACTGTACACACCTCTTTAGCACAAACTTAACCTAACACCAACAACGCTAAGTTATGATTGGCTAGTTCTCAAGGCTAACTCATATTGAACATCCGGTTTATGTGACATTGACATCTGTGCCTGTATATTTCATTACACTCACTAAAAATAACCCTTTATTCTCCTGAAGAAGAATAGTAAACCAATCGAAAGTGCTCGAGTTTTGGGTCTTGTTTGAAAACCAGATTATTTTGCAGTCACCTAAACTATTCACTAACCAATGAATTTTACTAAAGTTATCTAATTTCATTGATTTTAATTTATTTGATGAACACTGCCACTCGGTAAAACTGTAGTATAACTATTAAAAAGGTAAAAATGGTGTATTTAAACAATGAACCAAACATCAACTGATATGTAGTGGTTCCATTTGCCCTGGCTTACTCCATGTAATCTTCTCTCCTAAGAACTCCCCAACATTTCCAGGCTCTTAGCTGTGGTTGGCTGATTGCTACAACTGCAAGTTCTTGCTTCTGCATGTGGTGGAACTCTTCAACCACCATCCCTCTCTTTTTCCAGTCCAGCTGCCCTGATGATAATCTCCATTGCCATAATAAACAGCAGTGGGGGAGACTGTGCAGCCCATTGATAGCCCTACTTCCAACCTTTACCATTTTGTGCAGCAATGGGCTCTGAAACTACACTCTAGACCAGGGGTGGGCATTAATTTTTGCAGGGGGGGGGGGGTCACTCCACGAATAAAAATAACTACAGTTCTAATAGTTTTACTTTAGGATGAGATCTTTATTCCAATATTCACTATGTTGTGTAAAAATGACAATATATTATAAAGGTTAAATCAGCCGAATTTATTTATTTATATTATTTCTCGCAAATAAAAAATAGTGATCTCTTGAACTTTCACAAATGTATTATACAGAAGGAAGATTGCATTTATTAATATGGTTTGCATGTGCTAGTGCAGTAAGATATCATTGCAAATGTGACATGTAATGCCACAGGCAACATGCTTAACACCAGTACATTTGTTTTATACAAATTTCCTGATTAGTAGGCTTACATATGGAAGAATATGTTACAGTTCTTTCTGAGAATAGGTTGGTAAATGATGTAGAGCCAAGGAACACTATTTCTGAAAAAGGAAGCCTTCAACATTCTCCATGGAAGTGAAAATATTTGTATTAGATATTTTATAACAGCAATGGGCTCTGAAAGTACACTCTAGACCAGCGGTGGGCAATAATTTTTGCAGGGGGTCACTCCACAAATTTTGGTAAGTCGTTGTGGGCCACACATTTCTACTATATTAATTAAATTACCTCAACATTGATTGTATAAAGACCTCATTATGTTCTTTCAACAATTGCCAGGAATCACAATTGGCAGGACAGAAATATTAGATGTTTCTGAATTTGGCTCGCAGCCTGTATTTTTGCCCATTCTTGCCCTAGACCAATCTGAAGCAACTCCTTTATTTTCAAAGTGAAGATTAATTACAAAATAGAACATTTTGACCAAATGAAGTCATTTTAATAAAGAAGGGCAGCTCTAGTATCATTGAAAAAAAGCAATAAGTAAGAATTTGAAACTTGTGAAGGCTCAGAAGCTTCAAGCATAACTCAAAATCAGTGGCTGTTTTCATGATTAATAAGGCCATAAAAAAGGTAGTCATAGCAATCTCATTCTTTGGCAGTTCCCCAGTACATCTACAATGGACTTTTGTGCCTTTCATTTACTTAAGTGTGGTCATGGCAACTAAGATCCACATACATTGGTGGGCATGTGAAAGGTTTTTTTAAAATATGTAGTCTGAGATTGACCTTTTCATCCTTTTCAAAAGCATGTTGCATTGGAAATTGCAGTGCTGCATGGTAGTGTATATCAATGTTCATTAGAATAAGCACAATAGGTGATAGAGGAGTTAGTTCCAAAGTCAGCATAACACTTGAAATATCGTTCTTATAAAATATGATTAACTTTCAATAAATAGTTTTATTTTTAATATTGAAACATTTTACTTTTCAGTAACAAATTTTATGAAATTACATAAGGTAAATGATCATAATTTGTTTTGTTAATATATACAAATCATATTATCAATACTTATATTTTAAAAGATCAGCAACTTAAATAAGTTCAAAACATATAACATTTTCCAGACCTTGTAGTCTAGTTAGTTAAAACAGAATTTGAATACTGCCCAGTCTCACTTGTCACTTAACCTTATGTGAATGATATTGGTGCATAGCACCAGCCCTGTTTTTGTGAAGATATATATAGCAATGTTTACTATAATTCTGAATTTATTATGTGTGTGTCTTCATGATATTTGGCAAGCCCTTAGTAAACATTACAAGTATGTTGTGAACACAAAATCAGATGCTTTAATACTGTGAATTTTTGAAACATTAATTTAGACAGTCTGAGTGAAAGGTGATTTTAAGCTAAAAACACAATTAATCTTTTCATCTTAGAGTTTGTATGCATGCATTGTTTTAGAAGAAAGTTAATGTATTTTTTTTTTGCACTTAAATTTTGTCATTAACCTAATATGTTCCAAATGTTTACATTTCAGTTACTTTTGTTAAAAATATATAACAATAAATAAATACACATAAAAAAACCAAGATGTACTACTTACATGAACTTTGAGGCCTTTGGCACATAGATACATCGTTTAGTAAGCCTATTTGGTTTTCTCACTATGTTGAGTATCCAAATATAATTCATGGAATTTTCAAATACTTATTTTAGAATGCAAAAAATACAAAAAGCACTTGACTAAAATGTTCAAAACTAATAAAATTTATCTTGTTTTCTAAATAACATTTAAATAGATTGACAAAAATTTCATTACTTATTGGAGCAATGTCTTCAAAACTGTCATGCTCTCACAGCAAATTAAATACTTTTACTGCTAAAACAAGACAAATATTTGGTAATATTTATGTAGTTTAGAAACTGCTGTTTCTATTGGTTATAAACATATTTAGTAGTAATGACTGAGAGGATTATAGACATTTTATGAAAGACTGAGAATAGGAAAGGTGTATCATTGGGCTACTGTAGCAATATCTCAATAAAGCAAGTGGAGAAGAGGTTAGAATTTTATATTTTGATGTTTCAATATCTGTAGAAAATGTTTCTAATTAGTTAAACAATCTGAAGCCCTTTTAAGGGAAGAGAAAACTATAAAAAAGAAGTTACAGCACCAGCATGTCATGTCAGCAAAGGTGGTGGTAACAAATTGAATATTTATTTAAATATTCTCCTTTGAATTTCAGAAATTAAAACTTAGAGGATATAAACATTTAAGTTTTAAACTACGTGTTGATGCTAAGTTTATTAACATATAGTGTTAATAAAGCAGTTTAATTACATTTTGATTGTAAAAAAAGGTCGTGACATTACTTTGACCCAGCCTTACACAGAGGGTTAAGCAATTTTGTAATTTATCAATAAAGTTTCACTGCTAAAAATTTTCTGTAGTGGCAAATTTGGTATAGGAAAGAAACTTAAAATATTTGACTGCTCATTACTGGCCACATTTGCATTTCTTGCATATTTTTATCTTGAAATAATTAAATACAAGTTCATTGGTTTCTGTTGTAGGAACTGACAGAAGAAGGACTGCCTTTCTTAATCTTATTCCATGATCCTGAGGACAAAGAAAGTGTGAAAAAATTTACGAAAGAAGTTAGATCCCAGTTGCTGGGTGACAAGAGTAAGCACATTCATTCATTTTTCTGAAGGCACTATATGTTATTTGAGTTATACATGAAAGTTCAGGTGATTATTGTAAGAAAGTGTGAATGGATACATTAAGTACATAAATGACTGAATAATTGTTATAAAAATAAATCAAAGATATTTGTTCATTAGAAGGAAAATACTAATAATATTAACAAAGCTATATTATCAGTTCAAAATACATAAATTTGGAATAAATTCTACTCTACCAGAATAGTTGAGGGTGTAATGGGTAGAGCTGGGTGATTTAATCAATATAATTGACTAACTATGAGAAGGATTACCTCAATTGATGTCTCATAAACTAACTGATTAATTGAAATTATGATTAACAGTTCATATCACGAAAAAAATCAACTAATCAAAATTAGTTTTTCTGATAATTCCAACAATTGTTAAAAGGTGTAAGTTTACTGTTGTTGTTGTTTTTTATAATGTATTATGTTTGTAAATTTATAATTGTATAACTACTCTTGTATCTAAGTTAAGGAATCTGGAAACCCCAATTCTTTTCTTCTTGCAGTGATTAATAGCTGTATTCTTTAATTTTGTATAAACATGTGCAGATCTACGGGGTTTGGTCTCTTCCATTTTTGTCTTAAATTAATAGCTATTTAATGTTCTGCAAGCAGGTACAGGTAATCTTTTTTTTTTAGGGGTAGGGGGGAATTAATAACTATTATATAATGTTATATTAGTAAGTGCAGATCTTGTGCCCAACTCACCCCTCCTCCATTTTATTTAGCAACCAATAAAAACAGATGTCTTTAAGCTGTCATGTAGTCTCAAATAGAAACAAGATGTATTTTTTTTTATTGGACTATAAATTACTATCAAAAAGAAATTAAGTAAAGTATAATACTAAAATTTGAATCATGATCTACAGTTTGATACCAAATTTATTGACATAAATTTGTGAAATAGAAGTTCAATAAAATTTGGAATGTGAGTCAACAAACATGATGACATGGCCTTTCACCCATGAACTAACTATATGGAAAGAGTTAAATCATTAAGACTTTAAAAAAATTGAAGATTTGTGTTCCATAACTGTTTTAACTCAAACTGTTCCTTAGGCTTCAGGAATAGTTACTGGAGCTATTTCATTCTGGTTTTACAACATTTTAAAGTTATTACATGTATATCTAACTTTACTATTTTCTCTATCCAGTTTGAGTGCTTCTAAAATCTATTCATTTATTTGATGATTTGAAGTTATCAATAATGTGGAGAGATGAAGAGAAATGTGACTTTATTTAGAACCCATTTGAATGAGAGGAAATTTGTTCATATATCTGAGTGTGCATGTGGTGCTTGAGCATGTTTTCACTGACTACATTGCATCACTGCCTTTTGCACTTGTCTTACTCCTAAGTGTCACTGTAAAATTAACAATATTTTTCAGAGAGTAATAAAATTTTAGCAAAAATCAAAAGTTAATGGACAGAATACCCAACAGAACTAAGAATAACCAAGGATTATTGAAGATGTGACAATGTTTATACATAATCATTTGCTTCATGCTTAAAGGTACCAACAAAATCATATTTTGTCACATTTGAACAAGATTTATAATTTTAGCTGTGAAGTATATTAGGCACTCTTCTAGAATATATAAACAAACCTTATGTTCAGTTATTACTCTAGTTATATACACAATATATTTTGTGTTCACTTCTAAAATGGAACATTTTATTCAGTTATTATTTTTAATATATTTTTTTCTAATTAGAGTTCTAGTTTCATTGGCATTGATGAATATATCTTCATTATTGTGTGAATAGTTGGTAATATCTACTCTCTCATTATGCTAACTTTGTGCAACATAACTGTACAGCAATATGAATAGTTTATTTTTATGAAGTGGCAAATGTGTGGTAAACAGAGTTGGGGCAATACTTTATTTAAGTGATTCATTACTGTAATAATATTATTATTTTTTTACAATAATGAGGAATTAGAATGTTAGGTTTTTAATGGGATTAATAATATTACAGTTAGTTTCTGTAAAACAGAAACAAGTTCATTTCATTACTTTTATTTTTTTTTGTAACCTACATTAGTGTTAGAGCTGGGCAGTTAATGGCCCTATTAATCTACTACATTTGATTAATTGGTTAGTACAGCATTCCTCAAACCATGGTGCATACAAGCAAAAATAAAAAAAAGTTGCAAGTGGATACTGCCAGCCAGTTACCATTCCTCTAGTCAGCAGTTAAACATTAGTGATAGTGACAGATAGCTTCATTAGTTTTGCTTTAACCTGTGATTTTCAAATCACAAGCAAATTACCAAAACTGAACAAACTTGAAGTGGAAAAAAAAAATTAAATGCCTACTAATCGACAGAGCACAAATAGCACAATATGTTGCTTTCATAAAACTTATGGTTAACAAACAAACAAACATAATAGCAATATTTTGATTACCTGGATAGATGGAGTAAAACAGTTATAATTGGAAACCCTAATTTTGGTTAGTTGATTATTTTATAACAGTCACATGTTGGAATAATCAGAAACAATGATTTCAATGAATTGATTTATTCTTATTTAAATTAAGAGAGAAAGAAATTTAATAAGAAGTATAATGTGCGTCCAACTTTTCTTATTAACTAATATGTAAAAACATTATATTCATTTTTATCTGAATGAATGATTAATGACTTATATTTTTTCAGTAATGTGTCTAACACTGGTTATAAATAGTGGTTTTTCAACTCTAAATATATATATATAGTAGCATTGATCACTCAATTAAAACCTTTTTTTTTAAGATCATAAAATAAGTGTAAAGCTTGATTGTTTATTGACAAAAGAAGGTTTTCAGCTATGGTATACTTACTTGTAGTTGTATAAAATATAACTATGTTTAGGAAAAATGTGCCTCAAAATCAAACAATATATATTTATGCATATGTACTCAAATTATCATAAAATTTTTTTTAATAGGTAGCATCAACTTTGTAACAAGTGATGGACATAAATTCTCACATCCACTACATCATTTAGGCAAAACTCAGAAAGACTTGCCTGTTATTGCTATTGATAGTTTCCGACATATGTATCTTTTTCCTGAATTCAATGATATAAGGTGAATTGACTTTTCCTTAATACTTTTCTGTTTATTTAAAATATATTTCCAAAATATTAAATGTCTACCTTGTAAACATAAAATGTGATTATATTAAAGGCTCTGCCTATTTCATTTAACCTTTCATTATAGGTCAATAGAATAACCTAAGTATTATTTTTTTACCAAGCTACAGCAAAATCATAATAGCCTCAGTATCCCATGATTTGTTGTAATTTTCATTCCAATGCTTGTGCATAGTATATCAAAATCCATATTGAGGTAACAATAATTCCCAGGATGAATGTTTGTTAACATTTAGTATAAACTGTACTACATATAAGTGTAAATGACCTATTGTGAATAGTATATACAATTATAAGTTATTGCATTGTTCCATGTTTCCCATGTAAGGTGCAATATAAAAGAAAGATGTGAAGATTTATATTATTTCATAAAATAATTTTTCACAATCATTAAAGTCATTTTTTTTTAAATAAAGTAATAACTTAATTCACTTTATTTTTTCATATAATCTGTATTAATTCTTTCAATGTAACCCAGCAAGATGTAATATTCTTAATATCTTGTTGACATACTCTGTCTACACTTATGACAAATGACTAAGTCATAGTTTTGCAGGACTAAACAAGTATCTATTTTTTTTTCTATTCAAGTGTTCCAGGAAAGCTTAAACAGTTTGTTGAGGATTTTTACTCTGGAAAACTACACAGAGAATTTCACTATGGTCCTGAAGTAACAACTAGCTCTCAGTCTGACAGTTCCCCAGCCAATGGGCAGGTGAATTTATCAGTTTTTATCTTTTCAAGGTTTAAGTGTTTGACTGCTACTCATAAGAATGTATACAGTTTTTTAGAAAAGGGTTTTTCATGAATATCAGTAACTGTTCCACTATGTTTATTTTCAAATGACAGAGAGTGGATTTTCTTACATCTGGAAGAATTTTTCCTTTTAATCAGTTTTCACCAGGGAAGTGAACTACTAAATTATTGTTTTGTTGAGTTTTAACCATATGTAGATGAGATTGGTCATTTTGACCAACCTTGCAACAACCATGAAACTATACATAACTTTTAATGTAATAAGTCAGGTTAAAGTATATCTTCACAACATTTGCCAAGCTTTTAAAAAATATTATATAAAAATCAGATTTTGTAATTGAGTCTTTTTACTAAAGATTTGTCTGTGAACTTGTGGAGTCTGAGTACAAGGTGATTTTCATGTTAAGATTTAAAATGCTTTTTTTATCTTGTTTTTCTTTTTTTCGCTTAACCTCTAGAACTTCCTAAATGAGTATAAAAGGTTTTTATCAGTAAACTTTTATATGTTATATTCTGTAGCCTAACATTATGCAGGCTCATTCCATTTCACCACCACAAAAAATACAAAATAAATCTAAAATACTCTGTTTTCTTTCTAGAATAACTGTAGATTTTAACAGGAAATTACAGTTATTTATCCTAAACAGCTTAAAGCTTGTAACAGTTTATATCTGTTCTTATTTAATGTGATGGATTTATTATTATATATTTATTTTAATATTGATGTTTGCTTGAATTACATTTATATTTACAAGTGTACATAACTTATACTGTTAAATATGTATTGTGAAACTCCCGCCTATTCTCTAAAGTTATAGAAGATTCTCGAGTGTAAGAATCAACAGTATATATATATATATATGTATGTAAACTCTAGTATAGTGTGTTAGTATTGTTACGTAATCTGAATTTTTAAGAAACTCCATATGCCTATAAATGTAACCAACGCGCCGCACCAAAAGAGAATATATATTATTAGTCTGCTATAGTCAGTGTGCTGTAAACTTCAGAAGGGAGGAATTTAGACCTTTTGTGTCTGTTGGTTCTGTGTCTTTGACAAATGATACTGGCAGTCCCATACCCATACATATTCTACATGATACTGGGGCGAGTCAAACATTGTTGTTAAAAGGTATATTGCCATTAGATTCGAGTTCTGCCACTGGTGAGTCTGTTATTGCTCAGGTTATAATAATGACTTTGTTAATGTTCCTCCTCATAACATTTATTTAGCTTCAGACCTAGTTTTGGGACCAGTTGTGGTTGGAGTAAGACCTACTCTGCCAATTAAGGGTGTATCATTGTTGTTGGGAAACGATTTGGCTGGGGGAAAAGTTGTTGCCCAACCTAAAATGGTTAGTGAGCTGATCACTGTTTCATCTAAGGATGATGATGTCTTTGAGGATAATCCCAGTGTGTTTCCTTTGTGTGGTGTGACTCAAGCTCAGACTAAGAAATTAAGCCAGAAACAACTGATAGACATGGAATTGAGAGGACAATATTATAGATTTGTCTCAGACATTGTTTGGATCCGACAGGGATCTTGTGGATAATGGTCCTACTGATGATTCCTTGGTGAGTAACAATGATGGACATGAGGGATCCGATTTACCTGTGAAGTTCTACTTAATTTATTATTATTTGCTGTTTGTGAGCCAGTTTGGGAGTCATTAGGGTTTAGCCCATTTGAGTTGGTGTTTGGCCATTCAGTGCGTGATCCTTGGAAGTAGTTGAAGGAACAATGGTTGGAAGACAACCAGAAAGAAATGCATTTATTGGATTATGTTTCCAAATTTCGATTCAGACTCTTACATGCTTGTGAATTGGCTTGAGAACATTTGAAGGCATCCCAAACCAGAATGAAAAAACATTTATGACTACAAGACTGGACAACGTAAGTTATGTCCTGATGACATGGTTTTAGTATTGTTACCCACAATGGGACATCCACTCAAAAACTAATGACCACAAGGCTGAACAGTGCAAGTTCTGTCCTGGTGACATGGTTTTAGTATTTTTACCCACAATGGGACATCAGTTCAAAAAAAAAAACAGAGAAAGAAGACTGTTAAATTGTAGTTTATCACTACAAGAGTATGATTTAGAGATAACTCATGTCAAAGGGGGTTGATAAAATTTGTGCTGATGTACTTTCACGTACTATGTAATTTTATGATCATAAGATTATTTGCATTAATTGTGTTGTATACTGTAATGATTATTGAAGTTGTATAATCCTTTGAATAATGTATTATATTTAATGTATTGTTGTCAATGTTTATATCTATAATATCTTAGCTAAAAAATGTATAACGTCAATTTTTAATTTTCTAAGGAGGGAGTTGTGATGGATATATTATTTTTAATATTGACAATTGCTTGAATTAAATTTATATTTACAAGTGTACATAACTTATACTGTTAAATATGTGTTGTGAAACTCCTGCCTATTTTCTAAAGTTGTTGAAGATTCTTGAGTGTAAGAATCAACAATATATGTGTATATGTAAACTCTAGTGTAGCATGTTAGTATTGTTACGTAATCTGAATTTTCAAGAAACTCTCCACATGCCTGTAAATATAACCAATGTGATGCACCAAAAGAGAGATTGTCTGTTATTAGTTTGCTATAGTCAGTGTGCTGTAAACTTCGGAAGCTATAACTATAATTGTGATTAGCGCTTATTAATTGCAAAACTTCGGATATTTGACCAGGGGCATTTACAGAGTTCGAACATTACAAATCTTTTAACTTCAGTAGATTCTCATTGGACATTATATAACTTCACCATGGTAAACTCGCATGTGAGGCTGGTAAATAACAAAGGACAAAGCTAGCTAGCTCCCCGTTAAGCAAATTGTACCTAAATCAACTCGTAATTAACTCGCTCATCGTGAACTCTTAATAAGATATCAAGGAAGTTCCAAACTAGAAAGAAAACTTTATACTGCTTTTAAGTTTGTAAAATTTTGTATATAAATCATTATTTGTAATAACTGTTATTGTAAATTGTATTATTATTTGTATATTAAAACATAGGAAACTGTGTGTATCAATCTTGTTGGCAAATATAAATTGTAGATATATTGGCATATATTTAACTACTAAATTTAAAGTATCATTTAGCTTGGTTTCAGACTATTCAAAATTGTAATATGTAACATTCATTTCATTGTGTTATTGTTCTTTTAAGTGTGTCTAACTACGAAATCTGTGTAACAAGTTAGAAATCATGCATAAGCTTCATGTATGTATATATACCTGGTGGAGAAATTCATTTGTTATTTTTAATTTCATTCATGCTTTCTTATCTAACCTATTGTTTCTGATTTTTAAATTTGTAACAAAAAATAAGAAATATTCTTATATATCAAGAAAGTTAGTACTTACGTGTGGGTCTTATACTTTTTTGCAGTTGAAAACTCGGTGTCGATGAAAGTTGACATTTTATGTATACAATATCTATAGATGGCATTCATTGAAAGTATTCAAAGTTTTAATCTTTTTTTTTTATAAATTTATATTAACTGAACTTTAATAAGAGAAAGAGTTTTGTCATAAACTGCTTTTGTCTGGGAAAGTTCAGAATAAGCATAATTGTGGGTCTAATTTACAATAAATCCCATACTGATTTTACCAATGCTGTTAAAAGTTGTGACCAAGGTTTTTTTGTTACTGTTATTTTTTATAGTGAAAAGAAATAATTTGTTATTAAATATAGTTTTATTTACTTTCTTTGTGCCAAAAAACGGTTAAAAATTTGAAATCTTAATTTGTAATTTTAATGTAACATTCTTTCAATGCTTCTTATACTTCTGTACTTTGTTTAGGATTTTAAAATGTTCTTGACATATTTAATTTCACTAAGAAATTGAGTAAGATTTTCCATCTGTATGTTGACTTGTCAAAAATAGTTCCTCTCGAGGTGGTTTCCTGTACATGGTGAGGGGACCTCCCAGAGAAGGTTCTGTACTTTCAGTTTATCTACTTTGGGATCTGAACATCCACCCACTTGTTTGCCGTTGATCCTGGTGGTTGAGTGGTGTCTGAGGCACTGCATCACACCACTTAGGCCTTGAATTCCTGTAAACTGTTGGCCTCGGGGTGCCCCCCCCCAAGGTCAGTTGGCTGGTCCTTTTGGGTTAGGGTCAACTGATTACCAGTGTTGGGCACTCTCAACAGATGTTGTGGCAATTGTGTCTGTTGCTGGTGTTTGGGTATAGTGCTCATGAAGCCTTGGCATTGCTTCAGTGTCCTTGTTTGGGATTGTAGTGAATCCCCTCATAGGACTCCATGGACTAAACTCCTCCTGAACTCAATGGCCATTGGAGATATATCCATTGAGGTTACTCCCCATGCTGCTTTGAATTCCTCATGAAGAACATCCCCGAGTCAGAGATCCTTACTGGTTTTCCAGCTAAGGAGTTTCTACAGTGCTATGTATCTCCATTCGTAAAGAAAGAATTATGCTGCACACCAATGTTCTTATTTTGATGTTTACATTGCCATGTACACCTGCTGCTGTCACGGCAGGTTATTTGAATTTTAAGGTACGGCCATATATTCCCAACCCTCTCAGGTGTTTTCAGTATCAGCGGTTTGGTCAATCGAAGGCATCTTGTTTTGGTTCTGGGACATGCTCGTTGTGGTGGCAAAGACCATGATGCCTACAAGTGCGAACTAAACCTTCTCTGTGTAAATTGTAGTGATTCCCACTCCTCTAGCCATTGTTCTTGCCCTAAATGCATGGAGGAGAAAGAAGTACAGTGTTTGAAAACTGTTAACAACATTTCTTGCCCTGAGGCTCGGAAGTTATTGTCCCCTACTCCATCTTGGACATTTGCCACTGTGCTATGCTCCACTACTACAATGGGAGTGCAGACAGACCCTTCCATGCTTCCATCAGAGTCTTTTTGCCCTCAATGGATAACCGAGTTGACAAGTCAACATCTACTCCTATCTCTGTCCTCACCATTCCTTCCAGTGACTGTCCAGGTCCATCTTCTTTGGCTCTGGGATGGAGAATGATTATTCGTTCACACCCTCAGTCACTGGAATCTAAGTCTAGTGAGAGACTAAGGGCAGAATCCATGGTGAAAAATGGCGTGGTCATAAACAGAAGGTTCCTCCGCCCAGTTCTCTTCCACCCAAGTAAAAATGGCTACTTTGATACAGTGGAACTGTCGAAGTATTTGTTCTAATCTGGATGATATTAAAGCCTTGATCGATTGCTATCATCCCATGTGTCTTTCCTCACAGGAAACATTCCTGAAACCTGCCGATACAGTTACCTTTCGACAGTTTTGTTTATACCAGAATGACAAGTTGTGTGATGGATGAGTGCTGGTTGACCAGCATGTGCCCACCCTGTTGGTGTCAGTCCATACACCCTTGGAGGTCATAGCCATCCCTGTTTCCTTGGGTCATACCATCACTTTTTGTTCTCTCTACTTGTCTCTTGTTTGGTTTCTCTAATCAAACTACCTCCTCTCACCCACCCAGTGTGGGTTCCATTAACAGTGTTCAAGATCTATCGTGCCCTTATTCGATCCAAACTGGACTATGGGTCTCTGGTCTAGTTCTGCCAGGATCACAGCCTTGAAGATGTTGGACATCATTAAACATATGTGGCTTCAGCTTTGCACAGAGGCTCTCTGCACTTCTGCAGTCCAGAGTTTGTACACTGAGTCCCACGAACCTCCTCTTCACCTCTGCTGTTTCTGGATATCTGGTCACATCGGTATTTGCAGGAACAAGCTTGCTGACACATCAGCTAAGTCCATCTGCTCTGGTGCTGTCACAGCCAAGTTGCAGCTTCATGCCAGTTGACAGTCGACTTGTGTTGAACAACATCATAACAAGCTTTTCCAGATCAAACCTTCTGTTGCTCTTTGGCTGTCTTGTTTCAGTAAGGATCTGAAGGAGGAAGTTGTCCTGGCTAGACTATGCATTGGTCACAGTTTTTTAACTCATCATTTTCTTTCATCTGGTACTGACCCACAAATGTGTAGCCTTTGTGACACTCAAGTCACAATAGCTCACATTTTATTGTCGTGCCGTCATTACAACTGTGAGTAATGTCAGCATTTTTGACATATACTTTTTACGGGTTTACCCCTGACATTGGACGGTGTCATTGACAATGGAGACACTGTCCAACTTGACTGTGTTTTTAGCTTTTTGTGGGTTTTAGGCCTTTTTAATTCTACATAAGTATTTTTACCTGATTTTCGAACTTTGTTTAGTTTTAACTTCATTTCTTTTTACATTTTATATTATTTTACCTTTGAAGTTTTTACTAATTTGGGTGCAGATAGCCCTGTTGCTTTGCACCATAAAGTGGCAATCAACCAACCAAAAATAATTATTTCTTTTTCACCAGAGTTTGGAGTGTTCAGAAGATGTCATTTACTATTAAGAAACATGATAGATAGTATTTTATGTTCATGAAAATAATTATTTTTATAAATGTGTTAAAATGAAAATATTGTATAATTGTTGTGTTTTTTAGGGGGAGAGACAGAAGGTACAAACTCATCTACCAGAGTCAACTTTCAGAAAGTTAGCCCCATCTAGGAACAGATATACAATCTTACATGATGAATTATGAAGTTGTGAGGATTTATTTTTGTTTTGTTGACCATTCGTTGGAGATACAGGTAGGATTAAAGTTGCCAGTATTTGTTTACTTAATTTGTAAAAAAAAGTAATTTATGTAAAACAATTTAAGAGACCTGTGTTCTGGGGGTCAAGGTTTTTTCAGACATTTCATTTATAAGTAGAAAATTTGTTATATACTTTTATAATGTTTTCCAAGTGTGTGATTATAAAATATTTAAACAGAGCAATGTGTGACAAGAATGTTATAGAACTTAGAATCAAATTTTAAGGACAGGAAAATTGAATAAAAAGTTAAATGAATAAGGCAGTAACATTATAAAACTTTTTTTCATTAACAACTTTATCTCATTTATATACTGTATGAATCTGAAAACCCCATTTTTATAGAAGTAATAGTTTCCTTTATCAGTTCATTAGAAAACTGAATATTATTGCATAAACCAATGTTACATACATGAAAATGTCTGTTTGCACTATTTTTGTGATTTTATTGTGTAATAATTTGTACAATTGATAAGATTAAATTGGAATTAGTGATTTTCAGTTAAAATTTGCTGTTTATAGCATATGTAAAATACAATAATATTTTAATTAGGAATTATGGAATTATAATTTTAAATATACCTATGCTACATTAAACAAAAACCAAAAAGATACTTAAACATCTAAAATAAGAAAGGTGCTCTGCTGGAAAAAGTACTAATGAAATCAAAAACCCTCCCATAGCCATATACCTGAACATTGTGGAGTCCCTAAAGATCATAGACAAAATATACCTTTAAGACCTATAGTGTCAAGCGTATGACCCTGCAACAGAAACCATATCCTAGTTACTAGATCATTTGTTTAAACCATGTCTAAAGTATGTTCCATCACACTTAACCAATACAAAAGACCTTTATAAAAGATACAAACAATTTGAACTGACTCCATTATATTTTCCTTAGACATAATTGCATTGTACTCATCCATACCCATAGAAGAAGGCATAGACAGTATTATAAGCTTCACATCTTCACTTGATTAACACATTTTTCCAGCAAACATCCACACCAAATGCCATTCAAACAGCACAAAAAGACTTTAAAACATTAATATTACAAAATGATACCCTGATTATTACATCAATGTTTTCAAATAACAAAAAAACAAAAATATTAGAACAGCAATAGACCCCCCTAAAAACTTACAAGAAAATGCCCAAAACGAATATACCTTTCATAAACAAGATTTGAAAAGCCATTAAATGATCATGACTAATAATCAGCATAACATAAAAACTAAGTAAAACAGTGAAAGAACTATTAGTTTACTCTTCATACTCACAAACAAAATGTCAAAAAACAATGTTACACCAGAGTAAATGGAGCAGGACAAAAGTGCCACATCAAAAACAGTCTATCAAATCATATGTGGAGACGCATATATAAGAGAAATTGGAAGTCGTGTGTGTATGACCAACACAAATTTGCCCCAGCAGAACACTTCCTATACAAATATAGAAACACAAACACAGAAAATCAAAACCCATTTAAAGTTTCTATCTTACAAGAAACCAAAGATTTTAAAGAGAGAAAATATATGAAAGCTATACTCACTAATGAAAAAAATCCAAAAATGAACAGAAACAATGGAAGGTACAATGCCTTGCAAAAGTATTCACCCCTACCAATAATGTTACATTTTGATGAAATACAAATAATGTAAACAATTTTTTTTAATGAACTTGTTTTTATTCAAAACTCTTACAATCAAACTTAGCACTGTTATGTGTGAAGGAGGTTGAATGTCAGCAAAACCTGCAAAGAAAATATAAATCAAAATTTGCTGATTGCATATGTATTCAGCCCCCTAAGTGAGTACTTGATGGAAGCACATTTGGCAGCAATTAGTGCTGTGACTCTTTTTGGGTTGGTCTCTACCAGCTTTGCACAATGGGTTGTTGTACTTTTTGCCCATTTTTCCTGGCAAAATTGTTCCAATTCTAACAATTTTGTTGGGATCGTTGATGAACTGCTATTTTTAAGTCTCGCCATAAATTTTCCATTGGATTCAAGTCAGGACTTTGACTAGGCCATTCCAGGAGAGTCACTTTCTTACAAAAGGGATACCCCGAATATTACTTCAACATGGTTTTCAAATCACAAAACAAAAAATATTACAACAGCAACAGATCCAAAAAAAAAAAAAACATACACGAAAAATATGTCATTGTCCCAGTTTTTAGATTCTTGGATAACTCAAGGTTTTCCTCTAGGATTTGCTTGTACTTTGCACCATCCATCTTTCCCTCAATCTTGACAAGCTTCCCAGTCCCTGCTGATTAGAACCATCCCCATAACATGATGCTGCCACCACCATGCTTGAGAGTTGGGATGGTGTTGACTTGGTGATGTGCTGTTTTTGGGCTTGTGCCAGATGTAATGCTTTGAATTTAGACCAAAAAGCTAAATTTTTGTCTCATCTGACCTCAAAACCTTCTGCCACATGTCTGCAGTATCATTTACATGCTTTGTCATAAACTCTATACAAGATTTAAAATGATTATTTTTTAGTAATGGCTTCTTTCTTGCCACTCACCCATACAGGCTAGCTTTGTGTAGGGACCAGGATATTGCCTATGTATGAACACTGACTCCCATCTCAGACATGGAACTTTGCAAGTCTTTAAAGTCACTGTTGGCTTCACAATGGCATGCCTGAACAATTTTATGCTTGCCCGACTGCTTAGTTTGGAAGGATGGTATGAAGCACACTGTACTTCTTAATGATGGACTTCACCGTACTCAAAAGGCTAATCAGCAACTTTGAAGTTTTCTTGTAACCTTCTCCTGATCTGTGCTTCTCTACCACTTTATTCCCAACTTGTTTGGAAAACTCCTTGGTTTTCATGGTTGGTTTGTCATATCACTATGTGAGTTGTGACTAGACCAGATGCATTTAAACCACTTTAATTACACAGAGACCATTACACTAATTTTGTGACCTTTTGCACCTGAACTGATTGTTAGTGTTGCTGTAACAAAGAGGTCGATTACTTATGCAATTAAGAATATTCTAACTTTCTTTGAAAATCTAACTTACACAATATCAGTGTTTTTAGCTTTCTCAGTATGGAGTAGATTTTATAGATTCTAAAAATAAAGTCCCATTTGAAAGTTTCATGATTACAAGCTCAGATGGCAACAAAATATGGAAACTTTGCAGAGGGGATGAATACTTTTGCAACAAACTGCCATTCAAAAAACAACACATTGTACCAGTACACTTGACACTATTACTTTTAGTTTAACATTTGCATACTCTGGAGTATCATAGTCTTACAATTTGTTTTTGACACTGCTAGTAAACATTGTATCCTTTCAACTTTAAATTTTTGTTTCTTAGCAGCATCTGTTTTCTGTCTATGTGTTTTTTAGCTAGTCAGACAACAATTTGTGGTTCTCTTTATTTTTATATTTCACATAAGTAATATATATCATTTTAATATAGCTGTATAGTTAGTATTATAACTATACTATATTCTTAGAGGCACATTACAGCAGACTTGAGAAATAGAACATTACAGGCAGTTTTATAATTTCATAAATACTCTAATATCAAACAGTTGTATGTACTAAGCCTGATGAAGCTGCAAAGGCTAAATGTTGGTTAAAATAAAAAAAATTATTTTATAATTATCTGGAGTATAAAAGTCATTTTATTAACCTACTTAATATAACAATTCAGTGAATTTCAAAACTAATTGGTCATTTGAGATGTGTTACTTGTATTTCTATAGTGTACATTGACTTCAAACTAAGATCTTATAAAGACAAGGAATCTGTTTATATTGGAAGTATAAAATGATAATTATGTATAACAAACTATAATTTTTGAGCCAATTTTTGCTTTTCACTTAGAGAATGGCAACTATAAATATTTTTATGAAATATTTGTATTCAAAATAACATGATTGTGCATTGTGATTTGCAAAATGCTCCAATTCTGTTATTCGAAAAAAATATTGAAACCAGAATATCACTTTATGTAACTTAGCAAAGGTAGAAATCTTCTGTTGGAAAATGCATTAATCTTCAGTACCTTAATATAAAAACAAAAACATGAAACATACTCTTGAAATTGTAAAAAGAATAAGAGTTTCATTTGGAAGAAAAAACTTTATTGAAAAGGTTTTCAAATGAGTGAATCTAGAAACTACTCACAAGAACTATAACTGTGTACTCTGTATTTAAGTATTGCATGGACATTTGCAGGTATTATGTAATTCCTGAACATTTCATTCAACACTCTTAGATTGTTATCCCTTCTAAGACATTTTAATTTTACTATGTCAAATCTTCATTTGAGCTTTTGTAAGGTAATGGATAATCAAAGCACTATGTCAAATCTTCATTTGAGCTTTTGTCAGGTAATGGATAATCAAAGCATTATGTCAAATCTTCATTTGAGTTTTTAAAAGTAATGGATAATCAAAGCACTATGTCAAATCTTCATTTGAGCTTTTGTAAGGTAATGGACAATCAAAGCACTATGTCAAATCTTCATTTGAGCTTTTGTAAGTTAATGGATAATCAAAGCACTATGTCAAATCTTCATTTGTGCTTTTGTCAGGTAATGGATAATCAAAGCACTATGTCCAATCTTCATTTGTGCTTTTGTAAGGTAATGGATAATCAAAGCACTATGTCAGATGGAAGCCCTTATTAAGACCTGCCAACATAGTCAGACGAAATAAGTGGGCAAGTGATATGATGATCAAGCCTCTGGACATTTGGAAGACTGTATTGTTCTCAGACAAATCAAGATTCGCTCAATTTTTGGACAGTGG